CATGTGTATTAATTTATCTTAAAGTTTTCTGCGTGTAGTTATTGGTAATCAATTTTTATAGAAAATGTAGATTTTAAATCATGTATACCATTTTATCTTAAAGTTTTCTGCATGTAATTGTTGGCAATCAATTTCCATGAGTACTTTGTATCTTAAATGTAGCATGATCTTGAGTATTTTTGGTATTTAAACTTCTTTTAATCAAACTTCGATCAAGACATTCAACAATTTTTCTTGTACTAATCAAACAATCCAACAAGTATGAAAAATGATCAATGATAAAATATGTAACCACACGTGGATGCAACCACCAAATCGTGATTATAACCATATTCTTAGAGAGAAGAAAAATGAGGTCATTTAGTACATTATCAAAAATTGATTATAATGTAGTATTAACAAACTTCGTCACACTATTTCTTTACTCTCTTTCTCCTTTTCTTGGTATATGAAGTCCTAGTAAATGCTGTAGAAAATCGAATGTGTGTCAATCACCGCCCCTTTGTGTTAACAACATCGTTGTTTTCGAAAGGTATGGTGGCCGCCTCCGTCACGTCACAAGCTGAGGGAACTTCCTCGTTGTCAGGACATGACACTTCGGGCTCTATGGTTCCTCCATCTATTTGAAAACAATATTTGCAACACTAACCGACATGAGTTCAATATTTCTAGTTTGCAAACTACGGAATGAGATTAGAGTATTTAAAATTTTGAATTTCTCATAATTAATGCACATATCATTCACCTCTTGGTTCCCACTAGGTAATAGACCCTTGTGGTAATTCGAGAATGGGTTGATGCCTCCCCCATCTAGTTAAAAACAACAATTACAACACTAATGGAATATTTCTAGTTTGCATACTACGAAATGAGACGAAAGTATTTAAAATTTTGAATTTCTTAGATGTTAATGCGAAACACACGTGTAAGAAAGAAAAAAACAAAAATGTTCGAGAAATACTGCCTTTAACTGTCAAAAACTCTAGTTCATCTGTCGAGAATGATAGTTCATATTGATAGAATAACTGATATTTTGTCATCTGTCGAGAATAATTGAAATAAACTGTTAGAAACGATAGGTTATAGCGACAGATAGGTTACATAACTGATTTGTCCAGAAGTCCCCGTGTATCGAGAAATCATAATTGTACAGGCGTTCATTGTGACAAATTAAACAGTTCACTTAAAAGATTCGGTACCATGCTTAACCTAGAAAAGATGTAAAAAATAAGGTAGATTGTGACAAGTATAATACAACAATCACTTTTCACAAGCCAAACAAATTCAACGAAATATTAAGTAAAAAATTGATAGAACTTTAAAGATTTTTTTAAAAAAATATAAAAAAATTCATATATAACAAACTAAAAAACCTAGGAAAAATAAAAAACTTCAAAAAAAATAAAAAATAAACCCCAGAAAAATGGAGAAATGTACACCCCAAACAAAGTTAAACCCAAAACAAAGAACAAACTAACTACAGTCTATATGTAGTGAACTCAAAATTGATGGCGCAATTTTGAAAAAAGATAAAAGATAGGAATATTAGTAAAAAATTTGAAACAAAACCTTCAATCGATCGAGAAGAGAAATGCACATATTCAAAACCTCATCTAAGATATTCTTCTTTTTTTTGTACTGATGTAATAAATGGGATCTCCACGTAAGAACTTGCACTCCATATAGTTTTCAAAAAATCGAGAGAGAAAACATAGCAAAGAAGAAAGGAGAAATTTTGTAATAGTTGTGTGGGGAAGTAGAGTAGGTGATTGAACTGAAAAATAGAATTACATGGGCAAATAAACGTACTAGAGAAAGAAAATGAATGAGTTGATAGTTGATAAATTTTGCTATATATTGTAGTTATTTTGAATTACAATTGTGAGGTGATTGATTGTCACATTTTTCTTTTCATTTTTGTACAGCTTTTTTATGTTATCAACTCAATGATGTTTAGAGTATTTAAATTCGTGGAGGGGGGGCGCAAAAAGTCCAAACATGACAATCTGTAAACATTTAAAAAAAGGTGACATTTTTTAAGATATAAAGTTAAAAATTGACACGGAGTGTAATTTCCTTAATAAATAAATGAGGTACAAGTAGATTAAGCCCCCGTCTAAGCCTCATTCTTTTAAAATTTTATTTTTTTAATACTCATTTTCAACCACACATTTTTAATGAAATAATATTACACGCAAATTTAAAATATTTCCTTAATTTTTAATTACACATTCCCCATCAATCTACTATTCAAAATACATTCTTTTTCCAAAAATGGGAATTAAAATTAGATTTTTTTTTGTAGATTATGACAAAAGTTTTTGAAATGTATGGTTGAAAAATTGTGAGATGAAAGAAAGATGTGATTAATATTGATCGTTTAACATTGATTTAAATTAAAATCAAATTTTAATCTAAACCAAACAGATTATAATTCTTCCCATATGGACTTATTGTCAACATTGCGTACGATTACGTCCCTATATGATAATTATTATTTCAAAGCTTTTATTATTCGTACTCATTTTCAATCATACATTCACTCAATAAATCCTTATTTAATGCTCATCATCATCATCATCATCATTATTATTATTAAAAAACGAGTTTCGAATATTATTTTTCGGAGAATGTATGACTAAAAAATAAGAAAAAATTTAGGATTTACATGCATAATATTTTATTGTGTAAATTAGCAAATGTGTAATTGAAAATGAAGGCTAAATATTACGCAAGTGAACTCCAATTTTTTAAATTATTTTTTGGGAAAATTGCAGCAGCGGTCTTTAATTTTTTTAATTTTTGCAGACTTTACCCTCATCTACAATTTGTGCCAGTGTAAGTCCCTAACATTTCAAAAATATGTGACTGGGATCCAAATGAACGAAAACTGTCCACTTGATCGTAAGTTGTGTGGGGGAAGTAGAGTAGGTGATTGAACTGAAGAATAGAATTACATGTCAAAGAAACGTACTGGAGAAAGAAAAATGAATGAGTTGATAGTTAATAAATTTTGCTCTTATATATATTGTAGTGATTTCGAATTACAATTGTAAAGTGATTGATTGTCACATTTTATTTATTTTTTTTTTGTACAACTTCTTTATTTTGTCAACTCAATGATGTTTAGAGTATTTAAATTCCGTGAAATGACGATCTTGTAAAGATTTTTAAAAAGTGACATTTTTTAAAATATAAAGTTAAAAATTGACATGGAGTGTAATTTTCTCAATAAATTGACATTTTTCAACCGCACATTTTTTAATAAAATAATATTATACGCAAACTCAAAAAAAATTTCTTAATTTTTAACCACATATTCTCCATCAATCTACTATTCAAAATACATTATTTTCCCCAAAATGGGAATTAAAACTAGATTTTTTAGTAGATTGTGATAGAATTTTTTGAAATGTATGCTTGAAAAATTGTTAGATACATGAAAAATATGATTAATATTTATTGTTTAACTTTGATTTAAATTAAAATCAAACTTCAGTCTAAACCAAACAGACTATAATTCTTCCCATATGAACTTATTGTCAACATTGCGTTCGATTACTTCCCTATATGATAATTATTATTTCAAAACTTTTTATTATTAATACTCATTTTCAACTATACATTCACACAATAAATCCTTGTTTAATGCTTATTATTATTATTATTATTATTATTATTATTATTATTATTATTTTCTTCCCTATATGATAATTATTATTTCAAAACTTTTTATTATTAATACTCATTTTCAACTATACATTCACACAATAAATCCTTGTTTAATGCTTATTATTATTATTATTATTATTATTATTATTATTATTATTATTATATCCAAATTTTGACAATATCAATGTTGTCATCTATCATTTTTAACCACAATTGTACAAATATATTATTTCTTTATTTATTATCACACAAGCCTTTTTATCAGTGAAATTGGATGAAGTTAGCTTAATTGAAATCAAATTAAAATGTGATAATTCGATTGAACAAAATTGAAGTATACATTCCTGATTGACAGTGAAACGAAATATAGTTACCGGAAATGAACTTGACCCAAAAGATTTTGCTAATCATTAATTCTTTTAACGTTCATTTGATTTGGAAAATATGAAAAGTAGTATCGAAAATGAGTCGGATTGTTCAAATTTGAGATTACTCATCAGATTGAAATTAGCACAATCTAACTTTGGTTGGTTCACGAATTATACAAGGTTTGATTGTCTAATTCGATGGCCAATGAGAACTGGCCTGTTTGCTTGATTATTTAATTAAAAAAAAATAAAGTTGAGAATAAACTGAAAGTGTTTGAACTCTCTTTTAGGGGATGGACATTTTTCGATTCGATTTATGTTCGACTTGGTTTCAAGATTAAAATTTTCATTTTGATTCTTGAACGGGTCCTACAGTTTTGAACAGGTCCAAATATTTTTGAAAAATCCAGTATGAAAATTTAAACCAGATTAATTAATTTTTCTTCTCTAATGAAAAGAAGACATGGTTTGCTTTAAAAAGGGTAATTCTGTCTATGTGGTAGGTGAATGGTGGCTAATGGCTGCCCCACTCACCCACTTTTCCACAGAGGCCTTTGACCAAAATTTTTGTAATTAAAAAAAAAATGGAAATGTAAACAAAATTGTTATGATCGAAAATATCCCCCTTATTTGCAAACCAAGAGAAGAGAAATAGAGAGAAAAAAAGAGGAGAAAAAAAAAAGAAAAAAGAAAAAAAGGAGTCCGGATCCGTCGCCTACTGACGACCCGGACCTGTCTCACTTCGACCTCTTTGGACTCAACACGATCAGCCGGAGAAACGTCATTTTCTGGAAGGTTAGACATGTTCTCTATAAATAATTTCTTTGAAAATGTGTAAGTTTGAATGTTTAGGATTTGAATGAGCTAAATTCAATTTTTTATGGTTAAAATGGAAGAAAATATCGAATTTGAGATTGAAATGTTGGAAAAACTGGAAAAAAGAGACGGAGCTCGTCGAAAATGGAGTTTTCCGAGGAGCTGGACGGATTTTTGGTCCGTAACGGACCATCCAATCCGGGTCCGGACCATTTGGCCGGTCCGGACCCGACCATTCATTTTTTTTTCATTAATTTATTTTAATTTTTATGTTAAAAATATAATTAAATATGAAATAAATAATATATATGTTAAGATAATAAACCAAATTTAGAGATAGATGAAATAGAAATTTATTTTTTTGACTTAAATATATGTTTAGTAATTAAATATACAAAATAAATAATAAATATATGTTTAATAATAAATATATGTTTAGTGAATTAATTATGGAAACAATTAATATAATTAATTAAAGAAATACTTAAATGAAAATATTAATATATTTTAATTCAAATAAATAATCAAAATAGAGTAATTAAACATGATATCAATAATATACATAATTAACGAAATATTTAAAGAATAAATGAAATTGAATAATAATTTTCTTACTTAGCCAATTAAGATAATTAATTAAAGAAATAGTAAAATGAAAAATCGAATAAAATATTATTATTTTTATTCAAATAAATAATTTAAATAGAATAATTAAATATAAAATGAATAATATACATAATTAACGAAATATTTAAAAAATAAATTAAATTCAATAATAATTTTTTTACTTAACCAATTAAGAAAATTAATTAAAGAAATGATTAAATTACAAATCGAATTAAATATTATTATTTTTATTCAAATAAATAATTGAAATAAAATAATTAAATATGAAATGAATAATATGCATAATTAACGAAATATTGAAATAATAAATTAAATTGCATAATAATTTTCTTACCTATCGAATTAAGATAATTAATTAAAAAAATAGTGAAATGAAAAATTGAATTAAATACTATTATTTTTATTCAAATAAATAATCGAAATAGAATAATTAAATATGAAATGAATAATATACGTAATGAACGAAATATTTAAAGAATAAATTAAATTGAATGATAATTTTCTTACTTAACGAATTAAGATAATTAATTAAAGAAATAGTGAAATGAAAAATCGAATTAAATATTAATTCAAATTATTCAAATAAATAATCGAATTAAATTTTCTTACTGATTCTTTTTTTGTTACTAATTGTGTTGTATAGTGTAAAAAACAATGGAACACTTCTAGAACAACGAGCTTGAGTATATTTTTGATGATTACTATGATGTCACTGATAATTGTTTAATTCATAATGCAGGTATCGCAAAAGCATGTGTCACAATCTTTTACTTCGGCGAATTTCAAAGGAAACAAAAGGTTAATGGGAATAGAAATGGACGAGTGAAGGAGAAGGGGTTGCTGCTATTTCGATAACAAAAAATACATCGTTTATGGAAATGTATAATGAAATAGAAAACATGCTTAACGTCGATTCCTCTTAGTACGATATGGAATTGGGATTTTTATTTTAAAAGAATTCAACAATTTCGATTCCACCTTTGAAGGTTACTTCTCAAGTGCAAATAAAGCATGTAATTCAATTGAACCAAGGTCGAAAGACAACTCCTATTTGCATAACTTTATTGAAGAAAAATGTCCCCGAAGGTGAACACGAAGTTATCGATGGAGAGGATCGTAACGAGAATGATTTTTGGGATACTGTTGATATTGCTCGTGATGATGATGTGGTTATTCCTGGGACAGTTGCTACTCGCCATGATGCCATCGTTACACAAAGGATTTACGAGGAAGTTCAAGATAACGAGGATGAAAGGCCATTTACAAATCAGGATTTGATTGCTTTATCCAAATAGAGACATAAGTCTGGTGGGAGTTCACATGCTGGGCTGATTATACGGTCTTCTAATTGTTCGCGTATAGTTCCTGATGATGAAGATTTACATATCGATCAATTTTTTGACGTGAAAAGAGATTTACAAGAAGCTATGCACCGAATTGAAATGAAACATAATTTTGAGTTTAAGGTAAAAAAATCAAACAAGTCTAATACACAATTATTTGTGTGGACAACAATTGCAGTTGGCGTTTGAAAGCGACAAAAATGGACACAAATGAGTTCTTTGTAGTTCGCAAGTATGCGCGGGAACATACTTGTGAAGTGGGTATTCGTTAAAATGATCACAGGAAAGCTCGATCATGGTTTATTGGTCGACAGATAATGCACAAGTTTCAGGACCCACGGACGATTTACAAACCTACAGATATCATCAATGACATCCGTCGGGAGTATGGGGTAGTTATGAGTTACCAGAAGGCCTAGAATGCAAAAGAATGTGCATTGGAAGATTTAATGGGCAGAATCGCTTTAAGTATTTTTTATGGCTCTTGGACAATGCATTAGAGGTTTTCGAAATGTGATGCGACCTCTAATTCTAGTTGAAGGTATAACCCTAAAAGCTAGATATGAAGGGAAGTTGATTATTGCTACATGTCAAGATGCCAACATCCAAATTTATCCTCTTGCATTTGGCATTGTCGATGGAGAGACTGATCTAGCAATGCGTTGGTTCTTCACGAAGCTAAGAGAAGTAATTGGGGACATCGAGAACTTTGCATTTGTGACTGATCGGGGGCAGTCAATAATAAATGGTATAGCCGAAGTTTTTCCGGAAGCACGTCATGGTTATTGCATGTACCACATTCAGGGTAACTTAAAGACCAGGTACCGGGGCAGTGACATCGTTGCATTGTTTAGGAGAGCTGCAGAAGCTTACAACTTTGAAGAGTTTACGAAGTTCATGGGCGAAATAAAACATAAATCAGAAAGTGAATGGGAATATCTATCAAATATGGGGGTCGAACATTGGGCACGGTCATATTTTTCAGGACGTCGATACAACATGATGACGTCGAATAATGCGGAGTCGCTCAATGCATTATTCAATAAGGATCGAGAGCTACCAATTCTCGCAATGATTAAACATATTCGTAGCAAGTTACAACATTGGTTTTATGACCGACGTGAGGAATCCCAGAATTGCACAAGTGTGCTAGCTCCGGCACAGGAAGATCGACTATTCAAAACTCTGGAAGTGGTAAAAGCTCTATTTGTGGAACCATTAGATCAATTTCGCTTCTCCGTGAGATGTGGGCGTAATGTTGGATACATTATAGACTTGAATGACAATACCTGCATGTGTAGACAATTTCAGTTAGAGAGTTTTCAATGTGTGCATGCTGTCGCAGTAGCTATGTATAGAGGATTTCCATCACACAGCTTATGCAGTCATTATTACATGGCTGATTTTTGGAGAGCAACGTATGTCGAAACTATATTTCCTCTACCAAATGAAGTCGAGTGGGAAGTTCCTAATAATTTGTTGCCACCATCTACAGGAGAGTTTCTACAACCGCGTAAGTGCGGAAGGTGCGGCGCTACAAGGCATACACGTGGATTTTGTAAAGTCAAATCCCACTAAACAATGACTCGACGGATGTGCAGTATCTATATAAATCATATGTATTCTCTATTTGTAATATACTTTTTCTATTCTCAATTTAAATCGGATATAATTTTAATCACATTGTTTAATTATTCTTTCTAACAACATATTTGAATAAAAAAATAGGTTAAGTATAATAAATGTATAATTGGTTAAGTTTTTTTAATTAATTATATTAATTGGTTAAGTAAAAAATTAATTATTTCATATTTAATTACGTATTTCGATTATTTATTTGAATAAAAATAATATCACTTAGTTCGAGTTTTCGTTTAAATATTTCTTTCATTAATTATCTTCATTTGACACGTATATTTGATTATTTATATTCCTTTTAAATTACATTTCGTTAATTATCTTAGTGTGTATATTGTTTATTTAATATTTGATTGCTATATTTCGATTACTTATGTAAATGAAAATAATAATTATTCTATTTATTTTCTTTTAATACAAGTGAGACAACGATGTATATTAACTGACAATATGGAGAGATTACAGACACAACAACAATGTAAATTAAAATAATAATATTTTGTTAATTAAATATTTTAAAAAATTATTACATTACAACACGAATCATACTGAAATAAATAACATTTACATTTCAATAAAATAATATACAATGCATTAAGGATCACAGTTATATTCATACAAGTCGCAAGCTAATTTATGCCTCCACATATCAATCCAAGACTGATTTATTGTCTCAACATTGCGGCCAATGCTCAAAAACTCTATGTACTTTATTGCAAATAAGCCACAGTCGCCCCTGCAACCGAAGAAGAATAAATATTAGTTCGATAACATATAACTGAAAATTAAAAGGTAAAATTAAAAAGTTTTAAATCCTTACGATCATTCTTGTTTTGCCGTCGTCATGTTCCGCACAATGGCTAATCTGTCATTTACTCGAATCATCGCCTGATTAGCCATCATTGGCACGATCACAGCCATTGGCTCCAATATTTGCTCCAGTTGACTTTGTGTCAGACAGTGGTGATCAGAGTCGTACACATATATAGTGGAATTAGCAAATACAATTTCCACTGAAAAACAATGTGAGTTCGCGATCACTGGAATGTACATATGTGTACAATCCGTTCACGGTTTTTCGCACCTCGATTGTAGCCCAATCACCCACTCTACCATGTACTCGGGTAGAACATATTCATTCCCCTTGCTTAGGAGCCCGTGATGCTCAATATCTACGATACGAACAAACTCAGAGCTCAGGATAACTCGACTAGGACTGTCATAAGATCTCGGGTATCTCTGAGCCCGATTGCGTAACAATTCCATAGCCAAATCGATATGCTGAAACAAAAAAAAGAACACCAACAAAAAAGATAGAGACGTTTAAGTAAATGAACCAAGAACTTCTATAAATATAATAAATGAAAACTCAAAAAACTTACATCATCGGCGAGCCAAGTTGAGGTCGTCAGTACACCTTCGAACCACCTTTTAGCGTTGGGCACGGTCATAACTATCTCAATTCGATAAGTAAGAAAATTATTATTTAATTTAATTTATTATTTAAATATTTTGTTAATTATGCATATTAATCATTTCATATTTAATGATTCTATTCCGATTATTTATTTCAATAAAAATAATAATATTTAATTCAATTTTTCATTTCACTATTTTTAATTAATTATCTTAATTCGATAAGTAAAAAAATATTATTCTATTTAATTTATTCTTTAACTATTTCGTTAATTACGCATATTACTCAGTTCAAATTTAATTATTCTATTTCGATTATTTATTTGAATAAAAATAATACTATTTATTTCGATTTTTCATTTCACTATTTTTTTAATTAATTATCTTAATTCGATAAGTAAAAAAATATTATTCTATTTAATTTATTCTTTAAATATTTCGTTAATTACATAAATTACTCATTTCATATTTAATTATTCTATTTCGATTATTTATTTCAATAAAAATAATAATATTTAATTCAATTTTTCATTTCACTATTTCTTTAATTAATTATCTTAATTCGATAAGTAAGAAAATTATTATTCTATTTAATTTATTCTTAAAATATTTCGTTAATTACATATATTACTCATTTTATATTTAATTATTCTATTTCGATTATTTATTTCAATAAAAATAAAAAAAATTAATTCGATTTTTCATTTCACTATTTCTTTAA